TTAGGAGCAAACAGAAAAAACCCCGTGTACTGAAAGAGCAGAAAAAAATTTTCATTGGATTTCTTGATACTCTGGAGGATTCACATTTTCCCTAAATACACTTTGTTCTTTAAGTATGATCTCCTAGATTCAAGGGTTTGCAGATAGCAGATGTTTAAATTTTCAGATTTCACTTTAATTTACACTATACTGGTGAACAAAAATAGAACTACAAATCAAAAAATGTCTGTGCTAGCTGCTTAATCTTGGCATCCCAAAACACTTCTCATTGCTCATTATTTGCTTTGCTCCTTGTGGAAGTACTTATAACCAGAAGCAAGCAGGCAAAGCTAATACTACCTAGCTTTGGGAGTTAGCAGAAGAATCACAATGTACTGAGATGTACAACAATAGTTTCATTGGATTTCTTTGATACTCACCAGAGATAAACTTTTCACTGAATATAATTTTTAACCTATATTTGGGACTCTTAGGTTCAAAGGTTCACACACAGTTTCAGTTTGAATTTTCAGGATTCACTTTGTTTATCACTATAGAGTTGGATGGATGTAGAGCTACAAATCAAACACTGTTGGTGCTAGATGCTTGAAATTGCACACACACAATCAGTTCTAAGTATTTACTGTGCAGGTTCTTTCCAGTCAAAGAAGCTTTAAGCAGAGGCAGGCAGGGACTGCTGTTTCTATCAGTGCTTTATGAGCTAACGGGAAAATTACAATGTACTGAAAGAGCTGCAACACATTTTTATTTCATTTCTTTTATACTCAGCTGGATTCATCCTTTTCTTAAACACACTTTGTTCTGCAAGTTCTATTCTCCTAGGTTCAATGGTTTGCAGACAGAAAAAATTTGAACTTTCGGGTTTCATTTCATTTTGCATGTGTTCTTGCACAAAAAATAGAGATGCAAATCAAACACTGTTAGTCCTAGCTGCTTTAAATGTGTAATACACAATGAGTTCTCAGTGCTCTCTCTGTGGGTTGTTCTTGATGGAAGCACTTCTAAGCAGAAGCACTAAGCAATCATTTTTACTAATTTGATTTAGGAGCTAGCAGGAGAGTCTCAATGTACTGTGGTGTAAAACAATAGTTTCATTTGACTTCTTTGATACTCGGCAGAGTTGACTCTTTCACTAAGTATAATTTTTACTCCATGTTTGGGATTCTTAGGTGCAAAGGTTCGCACACAGTTTCAGTTTGAATTCTCAGGTTTCAATTTTTTTTCACTATAGAGTTGGAAGGAAATAGAGCTATAAATCAAAAACAGTTTGTGCTAGATGCTTAAAATTTCACATACACAATCAATTCTAAGTGTTTACTCTGCAGTTTCTTTGTGGTCAAAGAAGGTCTAAGCAGAGGGAGACAGGAACTGCTGTCTCAGACATTTCTTTAGGAGGTAGCAGAAAAATTCCAATGTAGTGAAAATGCTGCAACAATTTTTGCTTTCATTTCTTTTATACTCAGCTGGTTTCATGCTTTTCTTAAACACACTTTGTTCTGCAAGTTCCATTATCCTAAGTTCATCTGTTTGCAGAGAGGAACATTTTGAACTTTCAGGTTTCATTTCGTTTTGAACTATATACTTATACAAAAACAGAGATGCAAATCAAACACTGTTTTTGCTAGCTGCTTTAAACATGTCATACACAATCAGTTCTCAGTGGTCTCTCTGTGGTTTGTTTCTGATGGAAGCACTTCTAAGCAGAAGCATGCAGGAATAATTTTTACTAACTTTGCTTTAGGAGCTAGCAGGAGAATCCCTGTGTACTGAAAGAACTGCAAAATTTCATTTTATTGTATTTCTTTGATGCTCGGCATGGATCACCCATTCCCTTAACCCATTTTGTACCCTCATTTTGGGACTCTTAGGTTCAATGGTTTGCACACAGAATAATTTTGAATTTTCATTTTTCACTTTGTTTTGCATTATAGAGATGGATGAAAATAGAGCTTCAAGTCTGTACTCTTTGTTTTAGATTCTTGAAACTTCACACCCACCATCAATTCTCAGTTCTCACACTTTCGTTTGATTCTGGTAAATGTAGGCCTCAACAGGTGCATGGTGGAACTGCTTTTTCTATCAGTTCTTAAGGAGCTAGCAGGAAATTGCCTATGTATTGAAAGAGCTGGAACAATTGTTTTATTGGATTTCTTTTATACTTTGAAGGATCCTTCCTTTCACTAAACACATTTTTTTTTCTCCAATTTTGGTTCGCCTAGAATCAAGTGTTCCCAACCAAGGACAGCTTGAATTTTCAAGTGTTACTTTGTTTTGCACTATACATATGGATTAAAATAGAACCACAAATGAAATACCGATTGTGTTAGCTGCTTGAAATTTTATATACACAGTAAGTTCTCTGTGGATTTTTTTCTTATTTAAGTACTTCTAAGCAGAAACACTCAGGGACAGCGTTTACTCACTTGCTTTCAGAGCTAGCAGGAGAATACCAATGTACTGAAAGAGCTGCAACAGTTGTATAATTGAATTTCTTTGATCTTTGGCAGGGTTCACCCTTTCACTAAATGTACTTTTTTACCCAAAGTTTGGCAATTTTAGTTTAAACGGCTTACTGACAGGAAGAGTTTGAATGTTCAGCTTTCACTTTTTTGCACTATATAGATTGAGGGAAATAGAACTACAAATCAAATTGGTTTATGATAGATGATTGAAACTTTACACACACCATCACTACTGTGTTCATTTTGTGTTATTGTTTTTCTGATAAATGTAGCTCTAAGTAACAGCACACAGAAACAGCTTTTGCTATCATCTCTTAAGTTGCTAGCAGATAAATTCTCATGTACTGAGATAGCTGCAATTTTTCAAAAAGATTTCTTTGATATTTGTAAGGATTCATAATTTCACTAAGCACACTTTGTTTTCCAATTTTGTTTCTGTTAGTTTCAATGGTTCTCAGACAGGAACAGTTTGAATTTTAATATTTCACTTCATTTTTCTCTATACAGATGAATGAAACTAGAGGTACAAATCAAACATGGTTTGTTCTAGCTGCTGGAATCTTGACATACACAATGAGTTTTCAGTGTCACTCTGTGGTTTGTATTAGGTTGAAGTATTTCCAAGAAGAAGCATGCAGGGACAGCTTTTAATCACACACTCTCAGAGATAACAGGATTATCCCAAAGTATTTCAAAAGCTGAAACAATATATTTTTTTTCTTGAATTTCTTAGATACTCAGCAGGATTTATCCATTTACTAAACACACTTTCTTCTCCAAGTTTTGTTATCCTAGGTTCATGTGTTTTAAGACAGGAAAAGATTGAATTTTCAGGTTTTACTTAATTTTGCACTGTGTAGGTGGATGAAAATAGAGCTGCAAATCAAACACTGTTTGTGCTCCCTGCTTAAAACCTGACATACACAATAAGTTATCAGTTCTCTCTCTATGGATTTTTCCTGTTTTGAAGTAGTAGTGAGCAGAAGCATGCAGGAACAGCTTTTACTGACTCACATTTTGAGCCAGCAGGAAAATCCCAATGTACTAAAAGAGCTGCAGCAATTTTTTTTTTATTTCTTTGATACTCAGCAGGGTTCACACTTTCACTAAACCCACTCTATATCCCATGTTTCACACTTCTAAGTTCCATGGTTTTCACACAGGAACTGTTTCCATCTCACTCTATAGTGCAATACAAGTATTCACTCTTTGGTTTGTTCCTGGTCAAAGTAGCTCTAAGCAGAGGCACACAGGAACAGCTTTCCCTAATAGTGCTTAAACAGCTATCAGGAAAATTCTTATATACTGAAAGTGCTGCACTCTTTTTTTCACTCTAGAGATTCTCTATCAGCCCTCAAGAAGCTCACAGAAAAATTCCCATGTACTGAAAGACCTGCAACATTTTTTTTTGTTTGATTTCTTTGATATTTGGCAGGATTAATCCTTTCACAAAACACAATATGTTCTCCATGTTGGTTTCTCCTAGGTTCAAGGGTTTGCAGACAGGAACACTTTGACTTTTCACATTTCACTTTATTTGGCAGTATACAGATGGATGAAAATAGAACTGCGTATCGAACATGGTTTTTGCTAGCTGCTTGAAACTTGACATAAAATCAGATCTCAGTGCTCTCTCTGTGGTTTGTTCCTGTTTGAAGTAATTCTAAGAAGAAGCACGCAGGGACATCTTTCACTAACTTGCTTTCAGAGCTAGCAGGAGAATGCCAATATACTGAAAGTGCTGCAACAATTTTTTTCTATGGATTTATTTGATACAAGGGAAGATTCATTATTTGAAGAAACACACATGGTTCTCCATGTCTGGTTCTCCTAGGTTCAAGAGTTCACAGAATGGAACAGTTTGAATTTCCAGGTTTCAATTCATTTTGTTCTATACATATAGATAAAAATAGAGCTCCAAATCAAACATGGTTTCTGCTAGATGTTGAAATTTCAAACACACAATCAGTTCTAAATATTCACTCTGTGGTTTGATCCTGGTCAAAGTAGTTTTAAGCAGAGAGACCTAGGAACATCTTTCTCTATCACAACTTTAGGAGTCAGCAGGAAAATTTTCATGTACTTAAAGGGCTGAATATATATATTTGTTGGATTTCATTGATAGTCAGAAAAATTCGTCTTTTCACTAAATACACTTTGTTTTCCAACCTCGGTTCTTCTTGGTTCAAGTGTACAGAAACAGAAATAGTTCAAACATGGTTTGTGGTAGATGCTTGAAACATGACATACAAAATGAGTAATCAGTACTCACTCTGTGGTTTGTTCATGGTTGAAATAATTCTATGTAATAGCATGCAGGAACAGCTTTTACTAATTCACTTTAGATAATAGCAGGAGAATCCCAATGTACTGTGTAGAGTGTCAGACATGACTACAAGCATGCTTGCAAATGAGACACCCTGCTGTCTTGGTTGAGCTTGCCTGAAAATGGGATGTTCCACCAACGTTTCGATGAAATGACTGTGAGAGTGCTTGCAAATGAGACGCCCTGGTGTCTTCAGTGAAGCTTGCCTGCAAACACGATGTTCTGCCAAGTGGTCTAGGAGGGCTCTGAGAAAATTTTTATCTGTTATTAACAAAGAGCAGAGCTCAGAATGCTCTGGTCCAAGAGTAGATTAAGCCATGAGAGGCAGGTTACTTCTGATTAGTAAGTTACTTCTGTATATTATGTTTAACAAGCTTAAAGACTGAGTCATTGCTGTTGGAATGCTGCCTTCTTTGTTCACAACACTATAAAAAGACTGCTGTATTCAATGAAGGGGCTCCTTCTGCTTCTTCTTCATTGTTCATGCTGACCTGCATTTGAGTTATTTGTGGTACTTGGCATAGTCCACAGGATCCTGCACCAAAAGGGTAAGCACCCCGGGTAGAAAAATGAAGGGGGGACTTTCAGAATTAACAAAGCACTGAAAAGGTATTCGACCCAGGTTGAGAAAACAAAAGGGAGATTTTCAGAATTAACATGGGATACTTCCAGTCCTTAAAGGAAAAATATGTGGAGTTACTGCAAGGATTATTATATTCCACAGGTATAAAACATCTCATAAGAGACTCAAGAAGTTATTTTAAATGATAGAATGTCATTGTTACAGGTTCCAGTATAAAACCAAGGTCCAGTTAAATTGAGAGAAATGGAAACTGGTTCAGAAAGAGCTCCATAAGCAGCATCATGCTAGAAATGTTATTTCTTTAAGGATTTGAACACTGTGTAGTGCTATTACTCAAGCATTACAATTATTAGAGAGAAATAATGAAAAGGGTTCTAATCATGAAAGCAAAGTTGATACATCAGAATCTGATACCAAAGTTAATAAAATGGAGCCCAAGGAAAATATCTGTGATACTGCAGATGATTTTTCTACATCAAACCTGGAAAATGAGCTGGGGATGTGGCTCAAGCAGTAGCGCGCTCGCCTGGCATGCGTGCGGCCCGGGTTCGATCCTCAGCACCACATACAAACAAAGATGTTGTGTCTGCCGAAAAACCAAAAAATAAATATTAAAATTCTCTCTCTCTCTCTCTCTCTCTCTCTCTCTCTCTCTCTCTCTCTCCCTCTCTCTAAAAAAAAAACCTGGAAAATAAGGGGGATTCAGAAAGTTCAGATAGCAACTCTAGTATGAAACAAATAATGGAGGCCTTTGTGGAAAAAATGAAATTAAAAAATCAATGGTCCTCTCTTAAACCTACTGTTCTTCCTAAGGCTTCTCTCTTTCAAATGACAAAGTCTAAAGTTGATGTGGGTAGAGAACAATAGTGCTTTTCATTTCCTCTTACTATGATATATGATGATGATGATCTTACAGCTTCCCATGGCTGTTTTGTTAATCCACCACATTTATTTTCTATAACTAGAAAACAAAACATAATCTCAAAATGATTGATTATAATCTCCAAATGATTGATTATAATTACACTGCATTGGAATACAAGTTTATAAAGAATTTAAAAGCTGCAATCTCTCAATATAGCACTTAGTGTCACTTTGTACTAGGTATGTTAGAAAATTTGGGAACTTCTAAATTACTTATTCCTTTGGACTGGGAGGCATTAGTAAAAACAGTTTTAGAAGGATCTCAGTGGTTATAATTTGGAAGTTGGTGTGAAGATGAGGCACGAAAACCAGCAAGAGAGAATGAGACTTATAATCCCCCTGGACCTATGGAGTATAAGTTAATGGGGAAAGGTAATTACTGTGCATTTAGAGAGCAGGCTCAGTATACAGATCAAGATATCCAACCAGTTTGACAGGTTTTCTTGAGAGCTTGGAGACATGTAATACCCAATGGTCAAGCACAAACTTCCACCATTAAAACCATATAAGGGGCTACTGAATCTTATACTGATATTCTTGCAAGACTGTGTAATGCTGTAATGATTTCAGTGGGTCAAGATCAAATAGCAAAGCTATTATTAAAAACATTAGCATTTAAAAATGCAAACCCTGAATGTAAACATATTTTTAGACGATTAAAAGAACAAACAAAACTACATTGAGTGAATATATGAGAGCTTGTTCTGGAGTGGGAGGGATTGAACATCAAACTTCCATATTTGCTGCAGTCATAGCTGCAGACTTTGAACCCAATAAATCGGGAACTTTTTTCAATTGTGGAAAAGTAGGTCATTTTCAAAAAGATTGTTGCAAACCTGAACTCGAAGTAGACTAAACTAATTACTGTCCGGTCATTTTTTCTAAGACACTTGCTTTTTCTTAGATTCTATATTTTTTGAGCTCATGATTTTGATCCTACAAACCTAGGGTAATGTTTTCATAATCAGTTCTATTTTTAATCAACTGTGGAGTTTTTAAATATTGCAGTGGAGATTTCACCTGAGAAAAGCTACAAGGCCTTTAATATTGTGTTATGTGTGCACCCTTGTGTTATGTGTTGTGTGTCTGTATGTGCATATGTCCATATACCATGTACATGATAGGAAGATTGGCAGATATATGAGGATCACTCATAAAAAAATTAAAAAAAGATGAATCCAAATATTTTTGATTCACGTGATTTAAATGGTTCAATTTAAATTGGGTGAACAAAAAACTTGTAAGCTTAATTTTCAATGCATCTTATTTTTCAAAATAAATAAGATGTCTTTAAAATTAAGCTTAAAAGTTTTTCTAGGTGTTCAAAAAATACTAATAAAATGTTGATGTCTATGAAGTGTCTGATATGCTTTAGTTCTAGGACTTTTTTTCAACAGAACTTTTCTTCTACAAGGAAGAAATGGCTAACACTGTTCATTACGCTTGTCTGATGTTTTGATAAAATAAGGAAAGTAAATTAGACATAGGATTACTCATTTATAAGTACTTTTGTTAAATATCTGATTGATTAACAAAGTTAATATGCTAAATGTTAAATATAACATTGGGTACTCATAACTCCTTGCATTGCATTGGGTAACATTATTGATGATATTGTAAGTTGGTAAATGTAGAAAAAAAGATATAAAGTTGCTTTGTCATCCCTGATACTTAGACACTGTGTTTTCATGAAATGATAAACAGATGTGATTCTAGATACAAGAGTTTATACAAGATCTCTTTATACAAAAGTTCAAAATTTCAACTGCTTCAATTAAGAGTAATGTAAGTAAAAACAAGTATTTCTTTTTATTAATATAAAATAATCTGCCTAAAATTTACAAGGAATTTAAACTTAGAAATTTCAAAAATTTACAAGTATTGTTTTAAAATGTGAAAAGAAAAAAAAAGTTAACAGATGGAAAGGAAAATAATATTAGAAGGTTCTAGATTTGAAAATCATATTTAATAGAAAAAAAGGGGTGTTTCTTTATAAGAGATACTTTATGTGATAAAGTAAATAAGACTTTTTAAGTAATTGATAAAGAAGGTCTGTGTAAGTTTGTCTTCACAATCAGTCATATGTTAAAAGGACAAAGATTTCTTAAAACATTAGTTTACCCATAACCTTGTGTTTTAATCAGTTGTTTTTCTTATTTCCAGAGCAAGTAATCTTACAGAAATTAAGAATAGTGTTTTTTAGAGAATGGTACCATGTTATTTTTTTAAAAGCTAAACTTGATTAATATAAAAACATAAATGTAATTGTGGTGCTATTAATATGTTCTTATCTTCCATATATACAAGTCTATATGGTAGTAGCTTTAAAAGAGCAGTATATCAAACTAGTGTTCTAAAGTAGTATGAAATTTTAGGCTTAAGAGGAAAGAAATATTGGAGATTTATTTATATCATTTGATGTTCTATTACTGGACCTGTTATCAATAAGATATTTAAAGTTTTATGTTACTTTTTACACTGATGTACAACTTAAATGTATGTTTAAGTCAATGAGAGAGTAATCTGCATTATGGTTAATATTGTAACACACAAAAGTACTTTTCTATTTTTTACAAAATGTTTAAATCTTTCAGCCTTTCTTTATTTCATGTTTTAAATGTTATATCATATTATGTTAGCTAATATTTACGTGAACTTGAGCACAATTTATTTGAGCTTTATAAAATGATGTTCAAAAAGCAAAGATCAACCTCCAAACTACAGCATTTTACTTAATATTTATTAAAAGCCCCACCTTGCTTAAGATAAGGCTCTGTGTCCCATTCCACTTCATCTGAAAATGACTACAAAAGAAGTATGCTAGATTTCAGTACATTTAAGATTGTGACCCAAAGTTGGTTTTTGTCAAAATTACTAGGATCTCAAAGAGGGGAAAAATGGCTATGGCTTATATACCTAAAAATATACTTAATAAAATCTTACTAACTTTAAATTTTTAAATGTTTGGTCAGCTTCTGAGGTTCCTGCAGCCCTGCAACATTTCTCAACATTTAAATCACAGCCATTATTTCAAAAGTCGGAAATACATATATGGTACAGGCATGAAAATAAAGTGTGGATTTCTGGGTCATTGCACCATATGGGAATGGGGTTTGCTTTTATTTCTACAGGCAAAATGCCTTTTTAGGTACCTTCAGGACTTATCAAATTGCAGAATGAGTGACCCATTTGTCAGACAATTTCAGGAGCTGGCAATGCAGAGAACCTCTACGATGGTGACAGAAACAGCAGAATCCCCAACATGAGGACAGATGTAAAGGTTGACTCAAGAAGCTGAAAAAAAATCTTCTATTAGCTTTGCTTGCAATTATTAATTTCCAGGTAAGTACAGTTTCTGCTCATTCTTTTGATAATTTGGCCTATGTTCCTAATCCTCCTTCAGTGCATGCTGTTTCCTGGGGAGAACTTGATGTTTGTGTATGTAATGATAATATTAATTTCTTCCCTCCTCCAGTATTTGGGGGAATTGAAGATATACCATTCCATAAAAATCTGTGTAATATTTCTAATATAACTGTAGCTGTTGAAGGAGTTCCATTGTGTAAAGGGGCTTGTTTTTTTCTGTTTACTTCTTATAGCACATAATGATTCTCATTCTTATATTACTTGGGGAACATTATCATGTGTAGACTGTTTTTTTTTTTTTACTCAATGTATAGATAGAACTAATTGGGGTTTAATAGAATTTAATAATTATTCTTAGTTATTGTTAAAACTCACATGGAACTGTGGAAGCCTGTTAATTTGACTTGGCCTTGGTCTGATCCTTTGTCTGTTACTAATTTGTTCAATGCTGTTCAAGTTTTGTTACACTGCTCATGACAATTTATAGAAATAGTTATAGCTTCAATCCTTGCAGTTGCTTCTGTAAATGCCACAGCTATGATAGCTGGCATTGCTTTGATTCAAGAAATTCAAACTGCAGATTTCATGAGTGCATGGGATCAAGATGCTCATTTATTATGGCAACAACAAAAGGTTTTAGACTCTCAATTGAATACAGATGTGATAAATCTACAACATACTGTTTCCTGGCTTGGCAATCAAGTAAGTATTTTGGCTACCACAAGTGTTTTGAAGTGTGACTGGGATTCTTCTCATATTTGTGTGACTCCTGTGCCATATAATACAAGTGATTCCAGGGATGCTTTTAAAAGATGGTAAAATGGACATCAAAATTTAACTTTAGAAATTATGAATTTGGAAAAAACTATTATGAACACCTTTAGTAAGACATTACCTGAATTGACAAGATCTGACCTCTTACTAGAATTGTCTTCAAATATTGCTAATTTGAATCCTTTATGTCATTTCTCTACCTTGTTGTCAACTTCTTTTGGTAACACTGTAACAATTTTTGTTTTATGTTTTGTTTTATATAGTCTTCCAAAGTCGGAAAAAGTGAAAGCAATTGAAACATAAAATTTCTCTAATTGTTTCTGCTTTGACTCATTTACAGAAACAAAATGAAGGCGATATAGAAAATCAGACATGACTATGAGTGTGCTTGCAACAAGTCGCCCTGCTGTCTTGGTGGAGCTTGCCTTCAAAAAGGATATTCAGCCAAGGTTTAGATAAGGTGACTGTGAACATGCTTGCAAATGAGATGCCTTGCTGTCTTTGATGGAGCTAGCCTGCAAACTGGATGTTCTTCCAAGTACAGTAGGAGGGCTCTGAGAAAATTTTATCTGTTGTTAGCAAAGAGCGGAGTTCAGAATGCTCCAGCCCAAGAGTAGATTAAGCCATGAGAAGCACATAACTTTTGATTAGTAAGTTACTTCTGTATATTATGTTTAGCTAGCTTAAAGACCTGAATCATTGGTTTTGGAATGCTGCCTTTTTTGTTCACAATACTATAAACAGACTGCTGTATTCAATAAAGGGGCTTCTGCTTCTTCTTCCTTGTTTATTTTGACCTGAGTTTGAGTTATTTACAACATTAGTGAAAGAGCTGCTACAATTTTTTTTAATTGGTTTTCTTTGATACTTGGTAGGCTTCATCCTTTCCCTATCCCCACTTTGTTCCCAAAGTTTGGGAATCCTAGGTTCAACAGTTTTCACACAGGAAAAGTTTGGATTTTAAGGTTTCACTTTGTTTGGCAATATAGAGATGGATGGAAATAGAGCTACAAATCAAATATGGTTTTTCTAGATGCTTGAAACTTCATGCAAACAACCAGTTAAAGTGTTCACTTTGTGATTTGTTCCTGGTCCAAGTAGCTCTAATCAGAGGCATGCAGGAACAGCTTTCTATATCAGTGCTTTATGAGCTAGAAGAAGAATTTCAATGTACTGAAAGAGATGCAAATATTTATTCATTGAATCTCTTTAATACTTGGCAGCATTCATTTTTTCACTAAACACACTTTGTTCTCTAAGTTTACTTCTCTTAGATTCAATGGGTTGCAGAGAGAAACGTTTTGAATTTTCAGGTTTTATTTTGTTTTGCGCTACACAGGTGGATGAAAATAGAGCTGCAAACCAAAAAAAGTGTTTACTAGCTGCTTGAACCTTGACATACAAAATTAGTTCTCAGTGCTCATTTTGAGGTTTGTCTGTGTTGAAGTTCTTTTAAGCAGAACTACACAGAAAAACTTTTAAGAACTTGCTTTAGGAGCTTCCAGGAGAATCCCAATATACTGAAAGAGCTGCAAGAATTTTTTAATAGGATGTATTTGATACTTATCAGGGTTCAAAATTTCACTAAACCCAAATTGTACCCCAAGTTTGGGACTCCTAGGTTCAACCGTTTGTACACAAGAACAGTTTAAATTTTCAAGTTTCACTTTGTTTTGCACGATACAGATGGATGCAAATAGGGTTACAAATCAAACATGGTTTGTGCAAGATGCTTCAAACATCACTTAAACAATCAGTTCTAAGTGAACAATCTGTGGATTGTTCCCATGTACTGAAAGAGCTATAAATTGTTTTCATTGTATTGCTTTGATACTCAGCAGAATTCATTCTTCCATGAAACACTTTATTCTCCAAGTTTGGTTCAACTAAGTTCAAAGGTTTGTATAAAGGAAGAGTTTGAATTTTCAAGTTTCACTTCATTTTGCACTATGTAGGTGGAAGAAAATAAAGCTGCAAATCAAATACAGATTTTGTTAGATTCACACACTCAATGTGCCCTAAGTTTTCACTCTGTGTTTTTTTTTCCTAGTGAAAGTAACTATAAGCAGAAGCACGCAGAAGTGGGTTTTTATCAGTGCTTTAGGAAATACCAGGAAAATGAGAATGTACTGAAAGAGCTTCAAATTTTTTTTCCCTTGGATTTCCTGATAGTTTTCAGACTTCATACTTTCACTAAATAATCTTTGTTCCCCAAATTTGGTTCTCCTAGGTTCAATGGTTTACAGAAAGGAACATATTGAATTTTCAGTATTCATGATATTTTGCACTATACACATGGATGGAAACAGAGATACAAATCAAAAAATGTTGGTGCTATATTCTTGAAACTTCACAAACACAAGCAGTTCTATGTTTTCACTCTGTTGTTTGTTCCTGGTCAAGTAGCTCTAAGCATAGGGATGCAAAAACAGATTTTATTATCAGTGTTTTAGGAGCTAGAAGGAAATTTCACATGGAAAGAAAGAGCTGCAAAATTTATTCTTTTGATTCCTTTGGTACTAAGCAAGACTCATCCTTGCACTAAATACACTTTGTACCCAAGTTTGATTCTCTTTTGTTCAATCGTTTGCAGATAGGAGCATTTTGAATTTGCAGGTTTCTCTTCATTTTGCACTATAGAAAGGGAAGGAAATAGAGCTGCAAATCAAATACAGTAGGTACTAGATGCTTGAAACTTCAAGCACCCAATATAGTCTAAGTGTTCACACTATGGTTTGTACCAGGTGAAAGAAGCTCTTAGTGGAGGCCAGCAGAAATGGCTTTCTCTATCAGTGCTTTAGAGCTACCAGAAAATTTCCCATGAACTGAATAAGCTGCTATTTTTTTTTTAATTTCTTTGATACTCTACAGGATTCATCCTTTCACTAAACAAACTTTGTTCTCCAAGTTTGGTTCTCCTTGGATCACAGTTTGCAATCAGAAGCAGTTTCAATTTGCAGGTTAGACGTCATTTTGCACTGTAGTGGTGGGTGGAAATAGAACTGCAAATCAAACACTGTTGGTGCTAGAAGCTTTAAATTTCATACATCCAATCTTTTCTAAGTTGTCACACTGTGGTTTCTTCCTGGTGAAAGTGGCTCCAAGAAGAGGCATGAAGAAATGTCTTTCTCTATCAGCACTCTAGGAGCTAACAGGAAATTTCCCATGTACTGAAACAGATGCAAATATGGTTTTATTGGATTTACTTGATACTCGGCCAGATTCATCCTTTCACTAAATACACTTTTTTTTTTGCCCATATTTGGTTCTCCTGTGTTTAATGGTTTGCACACAGGAACAGTTAGAATTTTCATGGTTCACTTCATTTTGTATAATACAGTTTGATGGATATAGAGCTGCAAATCAAACATGGTTTGTGCTAGATGCTTGAGACTTCACAAAACCTATCCATTCTAACTTTTCACTCTGTGGTTTGTTCCCGGTAAAAGTAGCTCTAAGCAGAGGCAAACAGAAATGACTTTCTTCATCAGTGTTTTTGGAGCTAACTGGACAATTCCCATGTACTGAAAAAGCTGCAACTTTTTTTTCTTTGGATTTTTTGATACTCTGTTGGATGCATCCTTTCACTAAACACACTTTGTTCCCCAACTTTGGTTCTCCTTGGTTGAATGGTTTGCAGAGAGGAAGAGTTTGAATTTTCAGTTACACTTCTTTTTGCACTATAGAAATGAATGGAAAGAGAGATGCAAATCGAATACAGTTGGTGCTGGATGCTTGAAACTTCACACACCCAATATGTTGTGTGTGTTTACACTATGGTTTGTACCAGGTGAAAGAAGTTCTAAGTAGAGACAAACAGAAATGGCTTTCTCTATAAGTGCTTTAGGAGCTTCCAGGACAATTCCCATGTACTGAAAGAGCTGCTAAAATGTTTTCATTGAATTTCTTTGATAGTGGACAGGATTCATTCTTTCACAAAACACACTTTGTTCCCTGAGTTTGATTTTTCTATGTTCCAAGGTCTGAAGACAGAAACAGTTTAAGTTTTCAGTTTCACTAAATTTTGCACTATACTGATGGATATAAATAGAACTTCAAATTAAACATGGTTGATGCTAGATGCGTGAACCTTTATACAGCCAATCCATTCTAAGTGTTCACTCTTTGGTTTGTTCCTGGTTAGAGTGGCTCAAAACAGAGGCATGCACAAATGCATTTCCCTATCAGGACTTTAGGAGCTACCAGGACACTTCATATCTACTGAAAAAGCTTCAAAAATGTTGTCATTCAAATACTTTGATACTCGGCAGGATTTATACTTTCAAGAAAAACATTTTATTCCCCAAGTTTGATTATCCTATGTTCAATGGTTTGCAGACACAAGAAATTCAAATTTTCAGTATTCACTTCGTTTTGCATTAAAGAGGTGGATGGAAATAGAGCTTCAAATCAAATATAGTTGGTGCTAGATGGTTGATACTTCACAAACCCAATCCATTCTAAGTGTTCATTCTGTAGTTTGTTCTTGGTGTAAGTAGCTTCAAGCAAAAAAGGGACGCAGAAATGGCTTTCCTATCAGTACATCAAGAGCTATTAGGACAATTCCAATGTACTGAAAGTACTGCAATTTTTTTTGTTGGATTTCTTTGATACTTTACAGGATTCATCCTTTCAAAAAACACACTTTGTTTACCAAGTTTGTCTCTCCTATGGTGAATGGTTTGTAGACAGCAAAAGTTTGAATTTCATGTTTCACTTTGTTTTACATTATACATGTGGAAGAAAATAAGCTGCAAATCAAATACGGTTTGTGCTAGATGCTTGAAACTTCACACACAGAGAGAATTGTAAGTGTTCATTCTGTGGATTGTTCCTGGTGAAAGTAGCTCTAAGCCAAGGCATGCAGAAATGGCTTTCTTTTTCAGCACTTTAGGAGCTACCAAGAAAATTCCCATATACTGAACGTGCTGCCAATTTTTTTGTTGGATTTCTTTGATACTCATCAAGATTCATGCTTCCCCTAAACACCCTTCTTTCCTCATATTTGGATCTCCTTTGTTCATCACTTTGCAGACAGGAAATTTTCAAGTTTCACTTTATTTTACACTATACAGGTGAGTAGAAATAGAGCTGCAAATCAAATACTGTTGGTGTTAGAGGCTTGAATCTTTACAAACCAAGTCTGTACTAAATGTTCACTCTATATCTTGATCCTGGTGAAAGTAGCTTCAAGCAGAGGAAGGTAAAAATGTCTATTCTATCAGTGCTTTAGGAGATACCAGGACAATTCCAATTTACTGAAATAGCATAAAAATGTTGTCATTCCAATGCTTTGTTACTCAGAAGAATTTTTCCATACTTTCACAAAACACCTTTGTTCTGCAAGTTTGATTTTCTTAGATTAAATGGTTTGTAAAGAGAAATAGTTTGATTTTTCAGGTTTCACTTCATTTTACACTATACAGGTGGATGGAAATAGAGCTGCAAATCAAATATGGTTTGTGCTAGATGCTTGAAACTTCACACACCCAATCCTTTCTAAGTGCTCATTCTGTGGCAAAAGTAGCTCTAAGCAGAGGTATACAGAAATGTTTTTTTTTTTTTTATCAGTGCTTTAGGAGTGACCAGGAAAATTCCCATGTACTTAAAGTGCTGTAGAATTTTTTTCTTTGGATTTATTTGATACTTAGTAGGATTTTTCCTTTCACTAAATGAACTTTGTTCTCCATGTTTGGTGTTTATATTTTCAATGGTTTGTAGACAGAAACAGTTTGAATTTGCAGATTTCACTTCATTTTCCTCTTTACAGGTGGATGGATATACAGCTGA